AATCTATTATAAACTTAAGAGGTGAACTCATTCGATTTTAATTTGACAATTTTTAAATATTACAAAATATATATGAATATTAAAATTTTTTTCCTTTACATTGTCGCCAATGTTATTTATCTAAAATCTTAATTGTTATCAGTAATTGTTGAGTTAGTGCCTAAGCACATATTTTATATTTCTATTTGTATTCGTGCTGTAATAATAAAATTAACGTAATTACGAAATCATGTTTATAAATTTCTATAGCTCTCTCGCTTACGTTTAACTTTCCTCTTTATACGTATGTGCGTATCATCACTTATCAACTTATTTATGATCCAATAGCAATATTTTCTCTAACAAATAATTTACTATTACTAACCATTGAAATGCGCGTTAAGAAAAAGAAGAAAAGGTATAACGTAAGATACATAATATTCAATTGTTATAATTATTTTATAATTACGTAAGCACCATTTATTGTATTAAAAAAACATTTGTATTATTTTTTTTCTTATTAAAGAATTGATTTTTTTCGATATATTTTGAAACAATTATTTTCTGTAAAATTTACATTTAAAAAGTTGCTCGCGTATGCTTGTAAGATAAATATTTTATATTTGATGAATATACTCTTCTTTCATTTATATACTTTACTTGCATACATTCGTGCAGTGGATTATGTCAATTTAAATTTGGCAGATTTATTTCGTATATTTTAGGTTTCTCTTCTTTACTTTTTTTGTTTTAATTGTCTAAGACCTGGAGTTTAATTTACTATTTTTTAAAACTATTTTTAAATAATTTTATCCTTGAACGATATTTATAAATTTCATATTTGTTTGTTATATTTATAAATTCTTTTGCATTAAAAAAACCTTTTCTCTTATTCTCTCTTTTAATTGTACATTATTCATACTTTCATTTATTTTAGTTCATTCTAATCGTTTTCGCAATTATTTATTCATTTTATTATTAATTCTTTTATTATTACATCCATTCGTTACTAAGTAATCTTTTTAAAACAATTTTCGTTATTGTTTATTATAATTCATTATCCATTTTTATAATTTTTCTTATTTATTTCGTATAATTTACTTATGCTTAAAATCAAATATAACTTAATGACATTTTTTAGGAAGAGCGGGAAATTTAATGGATTAAATCAAAATTGTTAAGAGAGTGCCTTACACAAAATATTCGTTGTATTCGAAAAATTCTTTTTAATTGCATGATATCTTTTTTATATTTTCTATATTTCAATATGATTTTTTTTTTTTAAACTATACGAATAAAGCTTAAATAATATACTTTAATGTAATTTAACACCCATTTACGTTTTCTTTTTTTTTTTTTTGTGCCGTATGCTTTTCAGGATAAATTTGGTGCAGCTATCCATTTGATTTTCACTTTAAAAAACAACGCTTAACTTATATCGTGTACACGTATATGAGGATAGGATATGAGGATAGAGCAAAGAAAGTTAATAAGATAGAAAATAAGTAAGACAGTTATATTCGCCACAAGCCGAATTTACAATTGAAATATACGTTCTTAGATATGGACGGGACAGTTGCTCGATCGAGACCTCGATTCTTTCAGATGGCACCAAAAAATATAGAACATATCGCCTTTTGGATTTCAAGTCAACGTTTGCTCGTTTACCCTACTGTCGGCATGTTTACAATGGCATAACTTTGATCTTTTTCATTAAGTTATTCAATAGTCCTTCAAAGGCTCCCTGACGTAGATAGTGCTAGTTTGCTGCCTTGATTAATGGACTTGATTAATTGCGGACTTGATTAGTGGTAAAATATGTCCACTTTCAAACTTGACCTTCAGTTTATGATGAAGACTTGTCAACAATCGCAAACAAACAGACAAGCTGACATGACTAGATTCACTCAGAATTATGCACTTATCAAGAATATAAGAACTTGACCTTTTTCTAACTGTAACGAACGATAAGATTTTTAACTAAGTAGGAAATTTATTAAAATCGACATATCTTTAGCCATGAATATGAAATAATAGTTTTTTTTTAAGAAATCTTTTCATACCCAATTCTAACTCCAAATTAGTGCAATTGGTTCCAAACCCTTTAAAACATATCGCAACATAATAAACTAAATATTTTTCCGTCCTATTCTACCTATATCAGGGTGAATTTCTAAAGACGAATAACTAATTAGTTTGAATGAATTAACTTTTGAACACATATCGTGGTGCTTACCGTAATGAATGCTTGAATAATGAATTACGCCCATTTGTGAAAAATTTTCCAAATAGAAACCTGAAGTTGCAGTTCTTTCGCTTTCGCTTCGAGTCTGTTAATAAGTAACTCTACATAAGACAAGGAAAAGCATTGGCTACCTGTTCTAGATAAAGCGAATAAATACTTAGAAAGTCTCGGTTAGTTCTTTGTATCATGACGCAACAACAACGATAACAATGTATTTACACTTGTGCAAAAATGTAATGTTTCGTACTTAGAGAATTTATTAAACTATATAAAATAAACTTCTTGCAATTCTCATTACATACGAGGGTGGATGTGACAAAACTGGGATAGAAAAATAACTTTGAATTTATAAAATCTTCCCACATCTACGTTCATCGAATGGAAGCAACTATAATTTTGGTGAAATATCTCGAGAAAGCATGTTAAATATGATTGTTTGCCTGAAAAAAATGAAAATTGTATCACTTCAGCACTTCATGATCGCGATGTTCTGTTCCCACATAAAATGCAAGATATGAAAATTGAATCAATCAAATACATTTTAAGATTTCTGATATGAGATTTCGCCTATTTGAGGGACCGCTTATACAGAATGACCAGTACACTAGACTCCGCAAATCTTTGTTGATGAACGTAAAAAAACCGACATATAGAAAAATATTGCAATTTACAAGGTTTTCTTACATCTAACTTCACTGAACGAAAGCCAATATAAATTTGCCGTCCAATGTCACATCTGGCTAATAATGTGCCCTTAAGATAAGCGATTCAATGCGTAAGCTTAAAAAACAAACAAAGTTCGAACCGGAGATAACTGAGCTGCAAACAATCCTATAAGTATTTCTTAAATCGAACCGCACATAACGAAATTGTTTTTTACTCCACAAATGGAAAAAAGCTAACGGTTGGAAATTACATCCTAGTTATACTGTACCTCTTTACCGATCCTATACAAAAGCTGTTTAAGTGCCATAATCAAAGCAATAGCGAACTACGCGGTTAAAAAGTTTTAGTCGCGTTACAGAGCTTATATCCCCAGAGAAGCCATGTACATTCCATAATATTTACCTATACAAGTAAATTTCGTGTTTTCATAATTTATCTAATAAAGCAGCCCCCTTAATACAACCCATACAAACCATACCTCTGTGATCGTGGCGATAAAAAACCGAGCTAGAAAAATATTTTAATTTATAAAGTGTTTTCATATCCATCTCTCATTGAAAAAGATTTTCTGTCTTCTTTGGCAGTTTTGTAAATCTATTCTAACATATTACACTAATTATATCAATATGTAATTTATATTATTCGATGTGACTCTAAGACCAATCACAACGAACTGTGAACAGTTCTGTAAAACTTTTTTCCACGTTTAGAAACCAAGAACAGAAATTAGAAATTCAAGAGTTTATCACATTCTGTCACTTGCCGACATCGGCGCTGATAGCTATTCGTAAAACGAAAACAATTTACTTT